AGTCGTTTGGTCGTCCCTCACTAAGCCCCTGCTGTGCCGTGGTCACCCCATGCAGCCTGCTGCTCAGTTGTTTGGTTTTCCCTCACTGCCCCCCCCCCCCCCCCCCTTGTGGGCCGGGTGCCCCACACCGGCTGGTGTTCCGGCGTTTTGGCGAACCTTCACTAACCCCCCCTGGGCTGGCGGCCTGGTCGCCCCACTCAGCCTGTTTGGTCGTCCGTTCAGTTGCGATGGCCCATGGCTCTTTATATATATATATATATATATATATATATAGATATATATATATATATATATATATATAGATAGATAGATAGATAGACAGACTTAATAGCTCTGTGACCTTGGGCAAGTTATTTAAAATCTCTTGATCTCAATTTCTTCATCTATAAATGAGTATAATAATAGTACCACCTTAATAGTATTGTGATTGAGATAATATTTTTTAAAAAATTTGCATAGTATCTAGACAATAAGAAGTACTCAAAAATTAGTTATTCTTGTATATAATGACACTTAATACTCTATATAATAAAAGCCTAATATGCTAATTGTCTTGTCCGTTAAACCAGTCAAAGTGTAATATGCTAATGATATGCTAAGGCTGCTCAACCGCTCACTATGACAGTGATGGCAAACCTTTTGAGCGCGGCGTGTCAGCATTTTGAAAAACCCTAACTTAACTCTGGTGCCGTGTCACATATAGAAATTTTTTGATATTTGCAACCATAGTAAAACAAAGACTTATATTTTTTATGTTGATTTTATATATTTAAATGCCATTTAACAAAGAAAAATCAACCAAAAAAATGAGTTTGCCTGTCACCTCTGACACACGTGTCATAGGCTCGCCATCGCTGCACTATGACATGCACTGACCACCAGGGGGCAGATACTCCAACCGGTAGGTTAGGTCTGGCCGATCGGGACTGAGTGAGATGGGCTGGATATGCCCTGGAGCCCTCCCGCGGTCCCTCCCTGGCCCTGATCGTGCACTGGTGAGGTCTGTCTGCCTGGCCCGCAATCCGGGACCACTCAGGGGATGTCGGAGAGCTGGTTTCGGCCTGATCCCACAGGCCAGGCCGAGGGATCCCACAGGTGCACAAATCCGTGCACCGGGCCTCTAGTACAACAATAATGTAGGAGACATCTATTTCCAATATTTTTTTCATATTTTTATACTATCATGTCTTTTTTTACTCATCTACTGTATATATAATTGTTACTCTCTAATGAATATTTTAATTTTATTTTAAACTTTATTACTCCTATAATTCTATAATAACCATTTTATAATTTATAGTAAGCATTATTTTTTTCATTTCTATTTATACCTGATCAGTAAATATTTATTTATTATTTAACTTTTTTTAATTACAGGTAGATGCCTCTGAGAGTGAACCAAAGAGTTTTATCTTTATGAGTGAGGATGCTTTGACAAATCCACAGAAACTGATGGTTTTAATTCATGGTAGTGGTGTTGTCAGGGCAGGTCAGTGGGCTAGAAGGCTTATTATAAATGAAGATCTGGACAGTGGCACACAGATACCATTTATTAAGAGAGCTATGGATGTAAGTGCACTTTCTTTTATATTTTTTGGGGGGTCATTTTATAGCTCTGCTTTATTATGTTTATAATTTATTTAACATGTTTCTTCTAACGTATCTCCTATACATACTCTTATCCTTAAACTGTTATTATTTATTTGTAATGAAAAATTGATCTGCATTATTTTGCAGGTACAATAAAAACAAAATATCTTAAGTGTATAAAAATTTAGATAATGTCCTTGAAATGAATATTTTTTATTCTTAATTTTTTGTTTATTATTATTTTAAATATCACTTAAACTACCAACTACTTATCAATAAGATTGAAATACTTTTGAAAAAAATGTGACTGCTTTTGTAAATCTTTTCCTATTTAGTTTAATGATGTCAGAAACTAAAGGAAATCTGCTACTTTAAATTAATCTTTTATTCTTTTAAAGAAGAGATGGAATAACTCAGTATTCCATCAGTTAAAATTATTTCTTTGAAAAATACTCTTTAGAGGCACATATAAAATGCTTTAAGCATATAACATACATACAAAATGGTAAATTGCAGTATTTACTGAATTACTGTTTTGAATTTAAATCTTTTAAAGTCCATTTCTTTTAGAAATTGATATTTTAAAATCATGTTTAAGGTTTCCTTTCCTATAATAGTGAAATTGTGGGGTTTTTTCTGGCCTAGTATTCAATATCTACCTGTTAGGCTACTTTTGTTTTATTGACTTATTCTTAGGCTTTGTTGAAAAGCTAAATTTTGCAGAGTATGGATTTTTTTTACATATAAGTAGAGTTTTGCTTCAGAATAAAAGTAAAGTGGCATCTTGTATAATATAAAAATGTAAGGTTTATTTTTGTAATTAAAATTGGGAAGGATTTCTTTGATACACTGATTATTAATTACAAAGGTCAAAGGTAATATGTTCTCTACTTTGTTAACTCTGAAATGTTAATACAGTTGGCCCTTGAACAATCTGAGCATTAGGGCCACTGTTACCCCATGCCCACCCTATGTGCAATCAAAAATCTGTATATAACTTTTGACTCACTCAAAACTTAACTATTAATAGTCTACTGTTGACCAAAACCTTACCTATAACATAAACAGTTGATTAACACATATTTTGTATATGTTTTGTATACTGAATCTTGGCAATAAATTAAGCTACAGAAAAGAAAATATTTTTAGGAAAATTATAGGAAGAAAAAGTACTTCACTGCTATACATATTTATTGAAAAAAATTCACATATAAGTGGACCTGTGCAGTTCAAACACATGTTGTTCAAGGGTCAATTGTATTTAAGGTCCAACCCAACTCTTAAAGAATATTTTGGTTAATAGATTTTGAGGCTTTTAAAATGCTGTAGATAGAATTTCTTAGGTAAATTGTATATTTTTTTCAGCCTTTATGGATATGCAAAGAACATAAAGGCATTACTACTTTTGATTGGTTTCAAATTTCACTGGTGTGTTTTTAGTAGAATTTAACTAAAAATATTGAGGTTTATATTTAAGTAACTCACATGAAATATTATTTAAACTGTTTCATACTTCAGGATATGAATAATGAATGAACTTTCTGACACAGTAGTTTGTGGTTAGAACAGACCCTGTTGATGTATTTTTACATTATACATGAAAAGTGATCACAATTCAGTGAATATTTGAAAATTTAATTTAGTAAAGAAAATCGGATGTTTGTATGTTTGAGAGCTAAGTGAAATACTCTATGTAATTATATTGTTCCTGCTACTATATCAACTAAGCCTTTCCCATTCTTAATTTTTTTTTATTGTTGCATAAGGTTTTTTGAGGTGAAAGGTGTCTGTGGGAATCCATACCAAACATCTTTGAATTGACTGTCTGTTAATATCCCAAACAGGAGGGAGCAAGTTTGTCAGTGACATTAGAATAGTTGGTCATCTTGTTCTTGTAAGTAGGAATAGTGTTTTGGGGATAACATTTCATTGCCTTGACTTTTTTTTTTTTCTTTTCTCAATCATAGCAACTCATGATTCCTTGAAAAAAAATAAAAAGAAGCTGATTTCTAAATACTTTTTTAGTATTTAATATCTTCAGTATGTTATGTACTTTGAAATTTTTAATTTATATACTTTATTCTTTTATAGTAAATGAATATGAACTTTATTGTGGTAATTTTCTACATGCTGAATATTTTAAAATAATATTTCTTTTTAGTCCAGATAAAATGATTTTATTATTTGGGTTTTACCTTTTCATAGTGTTTCTCTGGTATTTCTTCAAGGGCTGCTCTGTGTTTGTTGGGGGTGGGGGTCAGTGCAGGTGGACAGGTGTGGAGAAAAAGGAACCCCAGCACACTACTGGTAGGAATGCAGATTGGTACAGCGATAGTGGAAAACAGTGTGGAGTTTCCTCAGAAAATTAAAAACAGACCTGCCTTTTTGACCCAACAATCCCACTTCTAGAAATATATCCTAAGAATCTCGAAACACCAATGCAAAAGAATGTATGCATCCCTATGGTCATAGCAGCATTATTTACAGTAGCCAAGATCTGGACACAGCCCAAATGCCCATCCATAGATGAATAACTAAAAAAACGGTGGTACATTTACACAATGGAATACTATGTGACCATAAAAAAGAAGGAAATCTTTTGCAACAGGATGGATGGATCTGGAGAGTATTATGCTAAGTGACATAAACCAGTCAGAGAAAGACAAACACCATATGATTTCACTTACATGTGGAAACTCATGAACAAAATAAACAGACAAAATAGAAACAGACTCATAAATATAGAGAACAGACTAACAGCTGTCAGAAGGGATGGGGATTGGTGGGGCTGAGTAGAAAAGGTGATGGGATTAAGCAAAAAAAAAAATCATAGACACAGACAACAGTATGGTGATTACCAGAGCTAAAGGGGTGGGGGGAAATAGAAGAGGGTAAAGGGGGAATAAATGTTGATGGAAAGAGACTTAAGTTGGGGTACAATACAATATACAGATGATGTATTGTAGAATTGTACTCTTGAAATCTATATAATTTTATTAACCAGCTAGAGGCCCAGTACACAAAAATTTGTGCACTGGGAGGGGAGGTCCCCTCATCCCGGCTGCCCCCTCTCACAGTCCGGGAGCCCTCAGAGGATGTCCTACTGACGGCTTAGGCCTAAACTGCAGTCGGACATCCTTAGTGCTGCTGAGGAGGCAGGAGAGGCTCCCACCACCACCGCTGTACTGGCAGCCATCAGCCTGGCTTGTGGCTGAGCAGAGCTCCTCCCATGTGAGAGCGCCCTGACCACCAGAGGGCAGCTCCTGCATTGAGGGTCTGCCCCCTGGTGGTCAGTGTGTGTCATAGTGACCAGTCATTCCCAGTCCTTCTGCTGTTAGGGTCAGTTTGCATATTACCCTTTTACTATATAGGATAGAGGCCTGTGCATGGGTGGGGGCCAGCTGGTTTGCCCTGAAGGGTGTCCCGGATCAGGGTGGGGGTCCCGCTTGGGTGCCTGGCCAGCCTGGATGAGGGGATGATGGCTGTTTGCAGCTGGTCACACCCCCTTCAGGGTGGGGGTCCCGCTTGGGTGCCTGGCCAGTCTGGGTGAGGGGCTGAGGGCCGTTTTCAGGCAGGCGGGTGACTGAAGCTCCCAACCTCTCGTTTTTTTCTTTTTTATTCTGGGATTTATTTACCTTCTATGGCTGTCACTGGAGCTGAGAGCTAGCTTGAGCTCTGAGGCTCAGCTCCAGCTCTGAGACCTTGGCTGCTGAAAGCAGGTATCTGGGCTTTGTTTAGCTTCTATAATTGAAACACTGTTGCAACTCCAGCTCTGAGGCCCGGCTGGCTGAAAGCAGGTTTCTGGGGTTTGTTTAGCTTCTATAATTGCAACATAGTTGCTTAGAGTGCAGCTTAGAGCTGGGCGGCGGCAGGCGGGGAACCTTGGCTTCCTCCATCACTGGAGCAAGCAAGCCTCCTGTTTGCTTCAGCTGCCTGGCTGCCGGCCGCCATCTTGGTTGACAGTTAATTTGCATAGCGCCCTGATTAGCCAATGGGAAGCATGTCGGAGGTACGGTTAATTACCATGTTTGTCTTTTATTAGATAGGATATCACTCCTACTTTTTAGACTAATACTTTACTCTGATTTGTGGAAGGAATAGTGATAATCTAAAGTATAACATTTTAAGTACGTTTCTTATGTGGTTGTTCCAGTGACAGTCACTTTACATCTCATATAATTTTAAAACAAATAGCACTAATTTTCTATATAACATGTACTATGTAGACCCCAGGAGACATCCTTATGTGGCAATATTCATCACACTAGAATATTTTGGGATTTTGTTTTAGATATCAATATGATTGTAAGGAGACTAATTAAAGAATATATAAAGTGTTGCTTAACTTTGATATGAATCACATACTTTAAAAGTTGATTTAGAGCTTTTTAGTTTTTAAATCACTTGCTTCTCTTATAATAAGCTACAGCTTTAACTTTTCTATTCTGTCTGTTGACTTTCTGATTCCTCTTAATTCACTTTGGGTTTTCTCTCCTTTTTCGATGGGCCCATTTATAAAACTGATTGATTGCAGTATTAGGATTTTTTTCTTTAAATGTACATAGGACCATTATAGATGGGTATCTAAAAAGAGGGTATAGTTTTTGTTGTTGTTTTTTCAATATTTGAGTAAAAAATTTTTGGTAACATTTTTGTAACTATTACCTTGAATTCAAAGTCTTCCAACTAAGTACTGCAAGCTCTTGCTATTTCAACGTAAGTAGTTGACAAAATAGTTGAGCAACTACTTTGGAAATGTGATAGGATTCTTTCTAGTGGGTTTTCCATGGTTAGTTGATTGTAACAAGAAGTACCATAACAATTTAGAGCATAGCTTTTATTTTTAACAATAGCAATGCCATCTAGTAGCTTATAGGAAATTATTTAGCATTTATGTAGTGCAAGCAGCATATAATTTGCCAGGAGATGTATTTTTAAGGTCTCAGAAGCCTCAAGAACATGAAAATTTCTTCAGAGCT